AGTCTTAGGGAGCAAGGAATTCCTGCTTCCCATTTCCTGTTTTGTCTGGAAGGCAAAGAACAGTAACTTTGCAATAGTAGGTAGCCAATAAATATTTGTTGAAAGAATAAATGAGTGAATAAAGTCTTCCCCAAACTTAAATTTCTTGAAAACTTGGAAGGAATTTTCTCAGTTTGGGAGAAAGGAAGAAAGAAGATAAATCTTAATGTAACCCAGCAGCTTTTTGTATCTCCTGGTGGTATTTTCTGAGAATGCCTAATACCCTACAGCTGAGATCCTTCTGGGCTGGGATCCATCTTCCCCAGCATTTATTCACACTAAAGGAGGTGAGCAGTGAGAAGAAATTGAGGCCTAAGAGAGACTGTCAGGTGCTTATGCAGAAGAACCAGGAAAACCTTTAATTTCCTGCCTTCCCTGACAGTCCAGCTCAGAAGAATGGAAACTTTCGTTAATCTTGTTAAAGGGACCGGCTCTCCACCCTTGGCAGGTGCCTTCTTTATTTCGTGCTCAACTCTTTACCCGTCTTCCCTTGTAGAATCTGGCTCTTTCCGGGCATCTTAGGTCAGCACCCTTGGAACAAAGGTTTAAGTCTCTAGAAACCCGTGAAGCACGCTGTTCTGTATCACGTCTCCTGCACTTCCCCTTGCCTCACTGCAAACAGCCCAGAGAACCAGGCGGAGAAATGAGGTTCTTTGATTCTAGACTCCTCCTTTCTGGGAAGCCTGGCAGTTCCTTCTCTTTCATAGATTTATGTTGTGAGTCTATATTTCTAAAGGGTTTCTTCAAGCACTCAGTTCCAGAAACGTGCTGGTCCTCTACTGTGGGAGTCTTTCCCTGGGGACTTTTGTAGTTCTGATGAGGTCGCTCTGTGTGGAGCAGAGTGATAATAGGGGCCAGAGGTGAGGATTGAGAGACAGAGTTGGAAGCAGTTGGAGGAAGGAGGCACTTTGGCTCATTTTCTTCAAGGGAACTGAGTCTCTGGGATTGGGGGAGGGGATCAGAAATGACTCATTTCTGACTCAATTACCCAAACTCGGCAGAGAGAGGACTTTGGATCATGGTATCTCAGAGGTAGGAATAGCTTCATGTCCCCCCAAAATTAGGAAGAAACAAGATCCAGCCCCCCTTTTACAATGGAATTGGAGCCACCAGTGTGGTTTTGGGCTGGGATTCTGTGGGGAGATGAAGTCGAGCCTGTCTGACTCTGGAATCAGAGCTACAGCACCCAGTTAAAGGATAGCTGCTGAGGAAAGATGAGGAGGAAGAGAGGGCTTCTGTTCCTGGGTACGATTCTCAGCCAGAGGGTGCTCTGAGGGTACATACGCAGAGTTACATGCATAGCCACACATACACAAACACACACAGTCACACACAATCACAGCCACTCATGGCCACATACACAGCCACACCCACCCGTACGCAATCAAACAGACACAGTCACACTCCTCCACAGTCACCCACACATGCACACACAGTCATACAGACACACAGCAAGTCGGGCCACTCTGGGGAGGAAGAAGAGAGGTTCCCTTCCTTATGTATTGGCATGAGTTTGTCATTTTCACAGGATTATGTGTCTGTCTCACAAAACCCTCTATGAGATGCATATTATTAAACCGATGTTACAGGTTCATTTACCCAAGGTGACATAGGTAGTAAGTGACCAGACTAAATTAATGTCTAGTTCCCTCTAACTGCAAAAGCCATCCTCTTCTCGTTACACCATGCTGCTTTTCACAATTTATAATCTTTGTGTCCAGCCTCTGTTCCTAGAATTCAGGACTAATATCTAACCTGGCAGCTCAGCTAACCAGAGGAGAATGAGTAAGCATTGCCTGTGAGGTTTCTGAAGGAATAGAAAGGAGGAAGAGGTGGTTTGGGAGTCCTTCAGGCCAGTTGGCAGCAGTTCCCAGCACACCCTCTTAACCTTTCAAGGTGCTTTTAGACAGATTCTGCTTCTACAAGAAAAGTCAACAGAATCTGCACAATGGTGCATGTCATGAATATGTGCCCAGAACAGGAGACAGGCTGTTCTTCCTGGTTTTGTAGACTAAATAATGTCCTTGTGTTGGAAATCAATTTAACACACTATGTTCACTTGTTTGCCATTTCAGCTACTTGAATCATGTGAAAGAATAGTTGAGACTTTTCACTTGTCAAGCCCCTGCTCTCTCACTGCAGTCCTGCCTTCTGCTTTATGCTATCTGCAGGGATTGGACCCCAAACACTTTTCCTGGTCAGGTTATGGGGCTCTGGTTCTTCTACTGGTGAGTGGCTACTCATAGAAACCTGTCCATATGGGATATACACACTGAGAGCTCACTTTCTCTATAAATGTCTGCTTCCCAGCCCTGGACACATTTTGAGAAAATTTAGGGAAATAAGGCATTTCTGTCCTTTCTTCATTCCACCCCTCTGAGTATGACTAACTCACCCTGGTGTGCTAAAACTTACATTTTAGCACCAACAGTCTTGTGTTTTGGGAAACCCCTCAATCCTGGGCAAACAAGTGTGGGAGATCTCCCTAATTTCCCTGTCTTGGCTTCTAGCACACAAGGTCCTTTATCTCTTAGGATAATTTCCAGGGGCCTCAGGTGAGCTGGGAATGGTGCAGTGCCAGGAAAGTACTAGAGTAATCCACTCCAGAACTGCTGTCTTCCCTTGGGGTACAATCCTTTCCTTCTCCATTAGAATCTTTGCTCTTAAGGACTTTCATCTCAAGATGGCAAAATTGGCCCACTTGTTTTCTTTCCCTCTTTGTGAAATAGATGAGTAGAACTAAAAACAAACCACCACCACCACCATCAACAACAAAAACACCATAGTAAAAAGCGAGAGATCACTTTGTTAAGGCCCCTCTCTTCTGCCTCTTTTGTCCCAACCCCATAAACAAAGACTTTAAAACATTACTGATGGACATCTTATCTTTTTGATTTCTCCCTACTTCAGTTATCTCTTTGATATTGAAATAGCTCAATGGCCAGCTCCTGCCCCTCATTCCTACTGCCTGTTATTCACTTCCATCTGGACATGCCACAAACACTCTAACTCAGGATATCCGAAACATAGTCTAGTCAAATAATCTCCTCCGCCCATTGCTACCACCATTTCCCAGCCCATCAAGTATGCGGAGTCCTCTTTTTGTATGGGGCAAGATACAAAGATGGACCAGTTAGCCATCAAGTCACTTGGAAGTCTTCCTTACTCCACTGCCCCCCCACCCCACCTTCTTCATTTCCTTCTTGGCCACATTAGATCGCAACCTCAAAACTTTTTCCTGTGATTGCTAGAATAGCTTCTAATGGCTGTCTCTATATTCTATTTCCTCTACTTCAAATAATCAGCTCTCTTACTTACTCAGCACAAATTCCTCAATCTGGCATTCAAAGCTTTCTCCCATGTCACCAACTTGCATTTATAGGTTCCTTTCCTACTGTTCTCCTATATAGACCCGATATCTCCTGGCCATGGTGGACTTTTTACTGATACCTAAAAATGTCTTGATAATAGAGCTTTGCTCATACTCCCAACCATCCACAATGCCTCTGCACAGTTTGCATTTATTTCCACCTTGAAGTGTGTTTCGCATACTCCCTTCTGTACGAAATATACTCTCATCCTTCTAAACTGATGTCATGATACACATTTTAAACATCCGGTGTTTTGAGTATACCCTTCTAATGGAGCCTCCTTCACTTTACCTTGTATTCTAGCTATCTGCCTACTTGTGTTCATGTTCTAGTGAAATGTAAAGCTCTTATAGAATAGGCTTCTGCAGCACCTAGCAGCATCTTGCATATAATAGGTATGGAATAAGAAGTTGTTCTGTTGCGTATTGAAAGAATGGTAGCATTCAGAAAAATGGAGACACCAAGTCTAGGTGATGAGGTGCTTCAAGATGTGACCAAAGGTTGTGGGGACAGAAAAAAAGAAAACTTAAATTGAATGTAGTGAGCAGACCAGTGTGGCTAGAGTAAAAGATTTCTGAATTTTCATTAAATCAGTGGTGAGCGGCTATATCATTATTGTGAAAATTTGATTCACTATGGATTTCAGTATTGTCTTATTCATTTTCTGGTTTAGATTTTATATTTAAAAAAATAAAAGCACTGTTTTTCCATTTACATGAACCTCTGTATACCTGTTTTAATTCTTTTGGCGTACCTTTACACATCAGGTATCTTATCATATAGTCCATGGAAACATTTTTTTCTGGAAAATTCCATCCTGGAGTCCTACATTTTCTTGCTTCATTGTACACTGGCTACTCTAACAAATAGGGAATGTTAAGTTGATGTGGGTAATTAACTGTAAGAACTGGAAGATCAATGAACAGAAAGCAAAGTAGCTGATGAGTTGATATGATTAAGTAAAGGAAAATGGACACTCATAATGAAAAATAATCCAAACTGAGTTTATCAGAATATGAGCTCAGAGCTTCATGTTATACTTTGGGGTCATTGATGTCAAGTTCTATGCTATGTTTTCCTTTCTGTCTCCAGTTTCTGACACAGAGTAGAGCTCAAAATTCTTTGTAGAATGGATTAGTATGATGGAGCGATCTGAGAGAACAAAGAGAGCTCTAACATAGAAAAACTTCAGGACCTAAATCATGGAAGGCACAACTCCTACAGTTAGCACTGGTCTGGCCATCTGTGAAAAATCTGTGAACCTGGATTCTCTCTCCCTCCAGCCTGGACCTCACAATAAACTGTAGGTGACCAGTTGTAGAAGTTGGAAAATAGGAGACAAAGAGAGGGTCCTAACTGCAGTCAGCCTTACCCAGGCTCTGGGGAGAAAGAAAGGTTACTGTCCAAGTCCAGTTGCTGGAATTTTCCTGGGCATGATCCGGCTGTAGCTGGCAAGCATAGGCATGTGACTGATACCCATTCAAGTGAACTTCCTTCTCTAGGGGCCCTTGGAGAGAGATCAAGGAAGGGAGAGAGCAGCATGCCTGTTGTCACTGTAGTAACTGCCAGTCTGGAGGCAGTGGGGTGAATGAGATGACCTCTGGCAGGTAGATCAATATGAGAAGGGTGAAAAGGAGAGCCCTGTTGGATTAGGATTCTCAGCCCTCCACAGTGGCCAGCGTTTCTGGAGTGGCAGGAGTGAGAATTTGAGAAAAAAACTTTCTCATTATCAGAATGTCTGAGCCCTGTTTCCTTCCTTCAGTCTGTGGGTCCCTTCGAGCTTCCATGCCAGGAGGGGAGCTCACCCTCCTCCACTAGGCAGAGAGAAAGCAGTGAGACCGGCTAGCTCAGCTCCTAAGGAAAGCGTACTTCCTTCTCTGTGGGCATAGGCACCACATCCCTGGATGTAAAAGGTGGTGTCTAAAGAGGTGAGAAAAGAGGAGGAGAAGACAGCTTTAGTTGCTCAACCTATTTCCCTTGGACACAAATTTGTGTAAGTATTGATAACGCATCATGGTGTGGGGGATGGGACTGATGCGCATGTGCATGTGCGTGTGGCCTCACGTGTTAGCTGAGTGCTGGTGACAAGTTTGATGAGCCTGTGCATGTGTCTGTGTGCTATTTCTAAATATAAGTCAGTGTCTTTCTACACGTGGGTCTGTGATTTCCAACATATGGGCGCTGAACATGTGTGTCCCCAGGATTGTGTGTCTGTTGCTCTGCCTCATTTCCATATGATGCTCCTTCTGGAAGTCTAAGCCTGAGATAAATATCTGACTGCAAGCCCATGCCAAGAAACCTTGAGCTAAATCACTTATGACATTGGGCCTGTCCAATGTTTTTGGATGATTCGGGAGATGTGAATCTTTGGAACAGAAAATTAACCTTGTGACTGCTAGTGGAATAGCCTGGGCAGGGCTGAGTCACCCCATTAGCTACCAAAGAAGAAACTGTTTCTCTAAACTCCTGAGGGGGCACCCCAGGAAACCTATCCCTCCTAGTATTTTTCCAACCAGGCAGATGATCCAGGTGGAGAGATGACTACCTGACTCTGTAATGTTATGACCATGTTAGGAGATAGGACAAAGTGCATTTTCTCAAAGAAGATGCCCCTCACTGAGCATTGAAGGAACTGGCTCTGAATCAACAAGGGAAAGATACATGTGGAGGTGAGGTAGTTCAAAGAGGGATATCTGTTGAGGTCAGCTGCACCAGGATCCTGCATGAGCCAGGTAGCTATTGTCATCACCAGTTAACTGAATCCAGGAATTCCAGTGAGCATATAGCCTTTCATATATCATCCTGCTTACTCCATTAACTCATTCCCTATTCTGTAATCTGGAACATCTGTGTCTTTGAGCGGACATGCATAGATATGGGGGAATAAGCAGCTTCCTTCCTGAGGCAATACCGTCTGCTTTTGGAAAGACATGCCTAAGTTATGGGGGCTCAGCTGAGTTGTCAGAGAGGATCTGAGCATGTGGCTGACACTGATGACCAAAGCTGGAAGGACTTCATTAGTTGCAGGCTCAGGAAGTTGACCATCTCTTGTCCAGCAATGCACAAATAGTGAGTTTTCGCAGCACATGATGTGTGTGCACAGCAAAATCACCTGAGGAGCCTCATCCCAGGCCAATTAATTATATCAGAATTTCTGAGCATGGTGCCTTGGCATAAGTATTTTAAAATACATCTTAGAAATGGAAGAACTGTGGCCAGGGTTGCAAAATCTTGAAATCATGGCACCCCCTCAGTCTGGAAATATGAACCCAGAATATTCAACCAGGCACTTTGATATTGAAAGAGGAGTAGAAAAAGAGACTATATCTCCCTTGTCCATAGGAGATGCTGGGTTAGCTGCTCACCATGTGACACTTCAACCATGTTCAGTAAACATATCTGAAAACTGAACTGGGCCAATTAGATTTACTCCCTCAGGAATTTGAAGGAAGACACAAAGGCAGTGGTTGATGCCTGAACTGAAAGTTCAGGGTCAGTTGGGGCCATAATGGTGGTCATTATGAGTATATGGTCACAGATTTATCAGGTAAGGGAGACTGAGAGAGAGTCGGTCAGGAGAGCAAAGAGGATGAAAGAGAAGCTGGAGAAGCAAAAGAGTGACATGGGGGACATAGGTCGGGGAGGATGGCCAGTCCTCAGAGGAGCCTTGATTCCTCACCTTGCTGAGGTCTTTTCATGGATTGCATTGCAACCGGGAGAACCTTAACCAGAGCTCTGATTTTGAACCATAAGTCAGAAAGGTGCTGTTTCCTCCATGTCTTCAAGCCTGGCATACAACTGTCTCCCTGTCGCAAATGCACTTCATTTTCCCCTCTGTCACTCAAACACCTACTCCTTTTTAAAAAGCAGTTTGAATGTCACTCCTACTTGACTTCTGCCAGAGCAAGCTACAGCCTACTCTTTGCTCACTCTTTTCCTATACAGGAGTTTGCTCATACCTTTATTTTTTCATTTCCATGTTAAACTTAATTTTTTGTTTGTCTCCTCTACTTGATTTTGAGCTCTTTGAGGATAGAGGCTATGCCTGATTTATATATTTCACCAGTATCTAATGAAGTTCTTGGTATGACCAGTTGCTGAACAGAAGCTTGTTAATTGAATACACTCTCAAAGATCAAATGGGTCTGAATTTGTTGAACTTTCTATTTTCTCATGTGACTAGATAAACATAAAATCTTCCCAGGATTCCAGATCTGAAGCATGGAAGTAATTTTCTCCAGTGATTTCTTACTTAAAATACTGACTAAAAGCCCTTAGCAGAAAGTTTTCCTCTTCTGTCTTTATACATAATATTTTCACAGAAAATTTAAGAGAGAACTAAGACAAAAACAATAAGATTACTTTATTAAACAGAAACTTTTTTGTTATTTAATGGCAAAATACTTTTATAAATTAATTTCCAAACAGTTAAATGAGCCAAAATGTGGGATTTTGAAATGCAAACTTAACTGCTACTATAGTAACATAATGACTTGAATTATATCAGAGGTTGTGTAAATACATGACTACTGGAATCAACATGGAATTATGTTTTGCATGCCTACCTCAGCCAATTATGTGATGCCTATGACTATATCTGGTATTCCATAGGCACTATATAAACCTTAAACAGGTGAACTCACATGATATTTTTCTTTCTTCACCTGACTTATATCATTTAACATAATACCCTCTAGAGCCATCCATGTTGTGAATGGCAGGTTTTCCTTTATTATGGCTGATTAATATTCCCTTGTATATAAGCCACTTCTTCATCCTCTCATCTATTGATGGACACTAAGGTTGCTTCCATATCTTGGCCATTGTAAATAATGTGGCAGTAGACATAGGAGGGCATATATCTTTTTGAATCAGAGATTTTGTTTTCTTTGTGTAGATTTCTAGAAGTGGAATTACTGGGTTGTTGTATGGTATTTCTATTTTTAGTATTTTTTAGGAACCTCCATACTGCTTTCCATAGTGGCTGTACCAGCTTATATTCCCAACAGTGTAGGAGGGTTCCCTTTTCTCCACATCCTCACCAACACTTGTTATTTTTTATCTTTTGGATAGAGGCCCTTCTAACTGGTGTAAGGCAATATCTCATTGTGGTTTTGATTTTCGTTTCCCTGATGATTAGCAATGTGGAGCACCTTTTCATGTGTCTATTGGCCATCTGTATTTCTTCTTTAGAGAAATGTCTATTCAGGTCCTCTGCCCATTTTTTTATTGAGTTATTTGTTTTTTGGTGTTGAGGTATATGAGTTTTTTATATACTTTAGATGTTAACCTCTTATCGGATAAATCATTTATGAATTTTATGAATCTAGATTACCTTTTTCTTTTATTGATGATGTCTTTTGCTGTACAGAAGCTTTTTGGTTTTATGTAGTCCTGCTTGTTCATTTTTGCTTTTGTTTCCCTTGCCCAGGTAGGTGTGTCCAGAAAAAAATTTGCCCATGCTATGTTCAAGGGATTTTTGCCTATGTTTTCTTCTAATAGTTTTATGGTTTCATGATTTACATTTAGGTCTTTAATCCATTTCAAGGTTACTTTTGTGTATGGAGATAGATAGTAATCCAGGTTCATTCTCTTACATGTAGCTGTCTAGTTTTCCCAACATCAGTTATTGAAGAGGCTATTATTTCCCCATTGTATGTTCATGGCTCCTTTATCATATATTAATTGGCCATATATGAATGGGTTTATTTCTGGGTTTTCTGTTCTGTTCCATTGATCTATGGGTCTGTTCTTGTTCCAGTACCAAACTGTTTTGATTACTGTGGCTTTGATTACTTACAATAGCTTGAAGTCAGGGAGCATAACATCCCCAGCTTTGTTTTTTTTCCTCAAGATTGCTTTGGCTATTCAGGGTCTTCTGAAATTCCATATGAATTTTAGAACTATTTGTTCTCGTTCATTGAAGAATGCTGTTGGTATTTTGAAAGGGATTGCATTGAATCTTCAAATTGCTTTGAGCAGGAAGGCCATTTTGACATCATTAATTCTTTCTATCCATGAGCACGGGATAGATTTCCATTTATTTGTGTCTTCCTTAACTTCTTTCATGAGTGTCTTAATAGTTTTCAGAGGATAGGCCTTTCACTTCCTTGGTCAGGTTTATTCCTTAGTATTTTATTCTTTTTGATGCACTGCAAATGGAACTGTTTTCCTGATTTCTCTTTCTGCTAGTTCATTGTTAGTGTATAGGAATGCAACAGATTTCTATATTAATTTTGTATCCTGAAACTTTGCTGAATCCAGTTATTCTAACATTTTTTTGGTGGACTGTTTAGGGTTTTCTATATATAGTGTCTTGTCATCTGCAAATAGTGATAGTTTTGCTTCTTCCTTACCAATTTAGATGCCTTTTATCTCTTTATCTTGTCTAATTGCCATAGCTAGGAATAAAAGTGGTGAGAGTGGACATCCTTGTCTTGTTCCTGATAAGAGGAAAAGCTGTCAGCTTTTCATCATTGAATATGTTGTTAGCTGTAGGTTTGTTGTATATGACCTTTATATTGAGGTACTTTCCATCTATACACATTTTCTTGAGAATTTTTATCATGAATACATGTTGAATTTCGTGAAATACTTTTTTCAGAATCTGTTGAGATGATCATATGGTTTTTATCCTTCCTTTGTTAATGTGGTGTATCACATTGATTGATTTATAAATATTGTACCATCCTTGCACCCTGGAATAAACCACTTGGTTTGATGGATGATCCTATTGATGTATTTTTGAATTCAGGTTGCTAATATTTTGTTGAATATTTTTGCATATATGTTCATCAGGAATATTGGTTTATAATTTTCTTTTTTTTAATAGTGTCTTTGTCTTGCTTTGGTATTAGAGTGTTTCTGGCCTCATAGAATGAGTTGAGGTGTGTGAGTTTGACTGAGGGTTAATAAGGAACCCAGATCAGTTTTGGGCTGGTGATTCTGCTTCTGCGTGCTTGGCATTACCTAGGGGAGTATGGAGGAAGGACA